GTTGAAACCATATAGGCTGGACTTGGAGGATCTAGGGAGAAATAAATCAAAAAGAGCGCCTCCCATCGTCACAAAATCTTTTGAGAAAGATGTTGAATCCATTTTGGCGGATCGAGTGGTGAGACGGAGAGGTGTTCCCCCTTGCACTCAATACCTAATCAAATGGAAGGGATTGCCCGAGTCCGAAGCAACTTGGGAAAATGAGGGAGATCTATGGCAATTTGAGTCCAAGCTTTAGAACTACATGGCGACGAGGGCATCGCCAAATTCGATGGGGGAGTGACTTACGCCCCACGCGATCGCGTTCGATCCATCCCGGTAGCGGTCGTAAAATAGCGTGAACCACACGCTGCAATAGGATGGAATGGGCAGAATGCAGGCTGCCTAAAATGGTGCAACTTTCCGGGACTTTCATGAGGTTTTTCTAGATCCCGACCCCGCCATTTTGGAGGAAAAATACATGAACCTGCAGCGGGATATTTTGGGGTGCAAGTAGGCAACTTGCACAACTTGTCCACTTGTGCCACATGCAAGATATTATCAAAGATACAAGCTAAGCGCGAGTTGGCGAAGATATTATCAAAAGTGCAAGCTAAGCACGAGTTGGCAAGAATAAATATCTTCTATGCAAGCTAAGATCGAGTTGGCGACAACTTGCAAGGAAAGTTGTAAACTTATCCACTTGATGACAACTAAGAATGAGTTGTAAACAACTAAGCATAGGTTGTAAAGTAGCCACTTGATCTTAAGGAGGTTTAAGTTTTGCCTATAAATAGAGGTGGAAGTCTCATTTGTAAATCAAGTAGAGTTGAGTGAATTTATTTCTTAGAGAGATTGTAAAGTTTCCTCTTTCATTTATACAAAGAAAGTTTCCCGACCTTACTTGTTTTTCATATATCCTTTACTTCAAAATTCTCTTCTCAACGTGGGTATAATTTAGCCTCCTTGGTTAAATTATTTGTGAGCGTGAAAAGACTGACTTAACGTTTTCTCGTGAGGTGAGGGAATTGTCAAGCGTTAAGGCCGCACGGTTCTAGTTGTTCGGGTGTAACGAAACTAGGTCCGTGACAGTTAGCTTCCTTAACATTCAAATGTTTGAATTTGTTTATCACACTCTCAACATAGTGTGATTGGCTTAATGTAAAACCCCCCACTATCCCTTTTAACTTTGATACTAAGGATAGTATCAATTTCTCCAAGATCCTTCATTTTGGAAGTAGAGGATATAAAAAATTTTATTTCTTTGATCCCATCTAAATTATTGCTAATGATTAGCATATCATCAACATATAGACATACAAACGTGAATATATTTTCATTCACTTTCGTGTAGAGGCATTTATCTACCGAATTGTGATTAAATCCATTTGACATTATTTTAGAATCAAATTTCTCATGCCACTTTTTGAGAGCTTGCTTTAGTCCATCTAAGGATTTAATTAATTTGCACACTTTATGTTCATTTTCGGTAGACGAACCCTTCTGGTTGTTCCATATAGACCTCTTCTTCGAAATCTCCATTTAGGAATGTCATCTTGACGTCCATTTGATGAACATGTAGATCATAAATGGATGCTAACACAAATAAGATCCTGATCGAGGTTATCTTGACTACGGGTGCATACGTATCAAAGTAATCAATTCCTTCTCTTTGACGATACCCTTTAACCACTAATCTAGCTTTGTAGGTATTAAGTGATCCATCGGAATCGTATTTCTTCCTAAATACCCACTTGCAACTAAGAGCCTTGGATCCTGCTGGCAAGTCAACTATTTCCCAAGTGTTATTTGAAATAATAGAATACATTTCGTTGTTATGGCTTCTTTCCAGAACATGCAATCTCTAGATTGCACCACTTCCTTATAAGTCTTTTGATCACTTTCCACTTGAAGAACAAATGGAATTGTTTTTACAACATCCTTCCCATCTCCTTCTATTAAGTAAAAAGAAATAAGTTGGGAATCTATTTCATCTGATCCTAAGTTCTTTTCTTTTCTAGTTTTTTTACTTTTTCGAGGTTCAATTTCAACATCCTTTATGGATGTCTTTTCTGGTGAGCTTCTAAAGATTGAAATATCCTTATCATTAATTTTAGATTTTCTAGCTACCATTACATTCTCGAAGAATTTCACATCTCTTGATTCTATTATAACATCTGTTTCTAGATTTAATAATCTATAGGCTTTGCTGTTGAAAGAATATTCTACAAAAGCACACTTGATACCTCTAAGACTTAACTTGGTTCTCTTATGATCCATATTCTTACAATATGCGAGACACCCTCACACTTTAAAATAACTGATATTTGGTTTTCTATTTTCCCAAATTTCATATGGAGAAATTTTATTGTATTTTATAGGAATCCTATTTGTTATATGGCAAGCACTAAGTAAGGCTTCACCCCATAGATTAAAGGGTAATTCAGAATTTAACAATATTGCATTTATCATTTCTAAAAGAGTTCTATTCTTTCTTTTTGCTAATCCATTTTTGTTCGGTGTTCTAGGTGCAGAAGATTGATGTATTATTCCATTTTGTTCACAAAATATGTTAAATTCATTAGAAAAATATTCCTCACCTCTATCAATTCTTAAAGTCTTTAATTTTCTTCCTAATTCATTTTCAATTTCAATCTTATAAGCTTAAACGCACTAAAGGTTTCATCCTTATGTTTTAATAAGTATGTATAGGTATATCGAGAACAATTATCAATAAAAGTAATAAAATATCTATTACCGCATCTAGTTAACATTCCATTCAATTCACATATGTCGGAATGAACAAGTTCAAGTAATTTGTTTTTCTTACTATGCTATAAAATGACTTCTTAATCATTTTTTATTTAACACATGTTTAACATTTTTTTAAGTTGTCAATTTCACATTGTATTAATCCACATTTAATCATTCTTTTCATAGTATTAACTCCTATATGTGCTAATCTACCATGCCATAAATTAAATGAATCAGTAACATACGCAAAAGATTTAACTTTATTTGAGTTATCGTCAATAGTACATAGTTTGACCATTCCTTCGATGGAATAACTCTTTCCAACAAAGTGTCCATTATGGGTTAATACAAGCTTTCCAAATTCAAAAACAGATTTAATTCTAGATTTTCCCAAGGGTACACCACTTGCTAAGCTTCTATTCATTTCCGGTACATGCAAGACATTTGTCAAAATGATATTCTTTCCCAAAGAAAAAATGAGTTCCAGATTTCCTTTGTCAATCACTTTTGATCTTCTTTTATTTCCCATTTGTATCTTTTGATTGTCTTCAATGTCATGATAGGTTTTGAAGAGAGGCTTATCATAACATACATGAATTGTAGTGCAGGCATCGTACAACTAGCCCGAAACTTGACCTTGGATTGCATTGATTTCGCTCACCGTGGCGATAATCTCATCAATGGAGTTCACTTGTCCTTCTTTCTTTTGTTGTTTCCTATGTCTACAATCATTGGTATAGTATCCCGATTTTTCACAAATATAGCAAGGTCTTTTGGCTTAATTTTTTAACTGTCCTTGATCCTTCCTAGGACCAAGAAATTTTCTTTTCTTTTTAAATTTATTGGACTTGTCCACGACATTAGCCTTTGAAGGACCTTCATAAAAATTTTCAATCTTATCTCTTGCCCTTGATTCTTCTTCAATACGAAGATGTTTTTGTATATCTTCCAAAGAAAAAATTTTAGAATTGTGAAGACTCATCTTCCTATATCCTTTCCAAGAACTAGGAAGTTTAGCAATAATTGCTTCCACTTGAAAAGTTTCAGGAAGTTCAATTTTCACCGCTTTCTGTTTGTTTACAATTATTTGTAACTCATGTACTTGAGACAATAATGGTATATTATCCAAAAATTTGAAATCAAAATACTTAGATATTAAAAACTTTTTGGTACCTTCTTCCTCAACTTTGTATTTGCTTTCTAACGCGTACCAAATTCCTTTTGTCGATGTAGTGTTGGTGTAGAGATCATAGAGGCAATCGGATAATGCATTTAAGATACGGCTACGACTATGATTGGTTATGTCATCATGATCTCACAACTAAAACTGCTCCCAATAGGTTAGTAGTTATTCCTGAAGAAAGTTTGTGCCGAAGCACACTTCTTTTGCCTTTTCTTAGGAGTCACAATTTTCTACGGAGGTTCATCATCATTTTACAGCTCCATATTTTTGAATGGACGGAAGAGATCATTTTTACACGACAGTTAACATTCATATTCTAAACATTTACAAAGGTTAATATAGGTTTCTTACTTCCCTATATAACATACAAAATACTAAATCCATACATTTCTCAACATTCTAGAATGCTCCTTCCAAGTCTGGAATTCTCTAAACTTAAAGTCTTATTCACTAGGTTCTCTATATGTATAGTCTTTTACAATCAACTATAAAATGTACCAACTAGGCCCCCAACACAATTTTTTTAATCAACTCCTCCTCATAAAACTGCACTTGTTGATCTCGTGATCTCCCTAAATAACAGTCTCCCTCCACATACCACAGAGAGAAAGGAAACAGAAAAATAAACCATAATATAAATACCAAATGACTACCTTTGAACCTCTGCATTGATAGAAATTTATCTAGGGGAATCACGTTACAATGAAATTCATAAAGAGTTTTAGAATATAGTATCCAACATATTCTGTTGGGAATTTTTTCTGAAATAAAAAATAAATATATCTTTCTTTCTGAAATAAAAAATACATCAATGATGGAAGAAGAATTTCTAGTAATAAAATATAATGTAAACCACATTATTGACTGTTGAGAGTTTAACATAATAGACTACATAAAACACGGAGAATAATAAACAACTATATTTTGTTCCCATACATCCGTAACCATTTGAGGAAGCATAAAATCAAAATGAGTGCATCTGCAACCACTGACTCAGCTGCTGTTGCCGTTAATATGGGGGATTAATGGAGTGGCATTGAGCTAGTCAGAACATAGACCGATACTAACCTGAATACATTAATGGTAGAAGAAAAGAGGCACCAGATATTAAGGAATGCTGTAATTCAATTCATTCCGACTCTTCTCATCACAAAAGATCCAACTCTATGAAAACTAGATAGGATGAATGACTTCTTTAAAATGTTGTTTACATTAAAGAGGAGGGATATTTATAATAATAGAAAATAAAAATTTCATATTCAACCACAGTTACATCTCTTCAATAATTTCAAAGTACTCTACATCAAGTGAGGCAGAAAGTTGAAATAGGCTAATCATCATCAAGAACGCTCGTACGCCTCTGAATCTGAGAAATAGCATGCACAAATCACACGTGCAACATAACGACGAGTAAATTCATGCAAAAAATAGCCATTGTAAAAGAAATGAAAATACGAATGACTTACTGTTACTCTGGTTTCTTTAGCAGTTTGGGTATTGATTTGTTCAAGCAATGATATGAGTTTCTCCTCAGAAACCTACAGATGAAACATCATAGCAATGTAATGATAATTTGAGCAGACAAATGAGACACAGCACATGCACAACCTTATATAGACAAGCATTAGAAATTTGAAGAGCTACCTTCTCAGTTATTTGACCCACACGTGCAGCTCTCAGAATAACATCCTCGACTCCTCTGGCCTTCTCAGGTTTTACCAGTGCTATTCGAGCAACTATACACACATAAATGTAAAGAACAAAAATCATTTAGAGAAGATTTCATGTGGTTAGATTAGAAAAAAACAAATCATGCTTACGCAATCGGAGAAAACATTAAATGAATGAAATGATGCCTACTGCAAGCAGCATCTCTAACACTACCCTGGTGCCCCCTTTTGTACCACAAGAAGAAACACACAAACGCAGAGGACCCAAACAGATGCACGGAATTTGGTGAATTAGTTTGCTTTCTTTTGTTCTTTTCTAGACCTAGTTGGGGTGGATTGAGTAGAAAGCATTAGCATATTAGTCAAATATCAAGTACTTGATAAAAGATGAAAAAGAGATTAGATGTCATGAAACACCTAAAAGTCGAGTGTTTTGCATTGTTGACAATGCTATTCAAATGGTTACAACTGGTTTAATGTACAGAAGTGCTTCTAGACTTTTGTGTGATTCATGAATTCTTGTTAGACAACTGAATGACTAATAGAATAAAAAAGATCCAAAGAGCATGAACCCCATAGTCATCTTTAATCTACGAAACAAGAAGATTTATTTTGTTGGTTTTTGGGTCTGACTCAAGTGCAATTTCATGCAATAAAATAGATTCTAATGCTTTTGTTCTCCCGTAGAACGATAAGATACCAGCTATCAAATAATTAACAGCAGGGAAGACCCCTTTCTGGCCTATGTAGATCAAATCGATGAGATAGTCTTACTCTTCTCTTGAAAGGAGACATTATAGGGCATACACAATAGCAAAGATGAATTATTCAAAAAGCACCCAAGCCTGGCATGCATCACTTGAGGAGTTCATTATATGCCTAGAAGTTTACTCCTTGACTTATTGAGACGCACCCTCTAATAGGCTTCTGGGCTGAGATATGAACTTGTTTGCCTGGCCCTTACGGGCTGTTTTCTAAAGTTTAAGCCCTTATTTGGCTACTGTTTATAAATATTTTATAATAGGTAAACCCATTTTTTATTCATACATTTCATTTGACAACCATTTATCCACCACTCATTTCTATTTGTTTATAATTTAAACTGTTTATAAACAACTTCTAAACATGCTTTAAAATGTTTTGAGGATTTTGGACTATGTTGAACACAACCAAAACTTTAAAATTTGAAAGGAAAAAAAAAAAGAATCGGGAGAGAAGAGAACAAGCGAAGCAAGAGTGCCCCAACCTCCTACAATTGAAGTGCGATAAACCCCTCTCCCAAGTGAAGCTGCAACTTTTCAGCAGTAGACGATCGATGACAGGAGATCTATGACACACAACTTCACTCATTTCTTTCTTTTATTGTTTTATATTACCTTCTCTCATTTTCTTTTTGCATTTACAAGAAATGGGAAGGGAAATGCTCCATTGCAAGTGGAGGAATGGGAAGAAGAATGCAAACATTGAACAGGCGACAGTGATGAGGAGGATGACAAGGAATCAAATATGATGATGATTCCCCCAATACAGGTAATATGGAAGACTTCTAGGCTTTTGCTAGACTTCTAGGCTAGTAGTAGATTATCAATTTGTTACGTGATTATACTTTGATGATTCATTGTTTGCATTAAAAGAGTCACATTTCATGCCTGGGAAAGATCCATGATTGTATCCATGTCGTTTGGCCCGTAAGGTTACCATTTGTTCAGTTAAACCTGCAAACTCAAAATAATATCCTTATTCTTTCTGAAGTGGTTCTCACTTAGTTGGGGAGAAGTGCTGCCAAAGGAAGTCACATTATTGCACATAGTGATGACAATGGGCTAAGCCGGTTCGGCTCGGCCCTTTAACCCACGAGCTCGGCTCGTTGCTCGGGGGCGAGCTCGTGATTTTTTATTTTTTTATTTTTTTTGGTAAATTGCACGTTTTGGACATTTTAAAAAAAAAAAAAAATTAACGAGCCGAGCAGGGCTCGGGCTCGTAATTTGACAAGCCCGAGCTGACGAGCCGCTCGACCCGTTTGACATCCCTAATTGCACAAGAACTTGAGGTACTTATAAAATAAGCAAACGGCCCTTTGAGGGATATTCAAAGAAGTGCAGGTTTGGAATACAATGGATAGGTCTCAATCTCGCATGGTGGTGCTCGCATACCTCAAGTTTGAGATCCCACATTGTTAAAATATGATTTTTATTTATTTTTTATTTATTTATTTTTTTAAAATCAAAACACATAAGGTGGAGGTTTTATTAATAACGCATCCGGTGACCTACCATGGACAAAAGGCCTCAAGGAGTGGGGCCAAACCTGACCTCCCATGGACACAAAAGTGGACCCAAAAACTGAGCCAACCATAGCCATGGAATCAGCGAGACAGCCCAATCAAGTTGGACCATTACAACCATCAAAGTCGGATTAAAAGAGAGTGAGCCATTTCAAACAACTAAAAGAAACAAGAATAGCTTGGGAGAGCAATCAATGTTTCTTCTAGGCAGGCTTCTTTTGTTTAACGGTTTCCTTGTTCTTGGTTGAAGGCTATAACCAATAACAAGGGAGTTTGCTTCCTTGGATACCTCATCGGAACTAGATTGGGAATTATCTTCCGGAGACTGGAAAAAATTTGACATACTAAATGCACTAGCTTCAATAATTTCTTGGTAAGACACTGCAGTTGTTTAGCTTTATAAGTACCTCAAGACTTGTTTCAGTTGATTCTTTTTGGGTAATAACTTAACTAATTGGCGTCCTGAGAGCAAAAGTGCACATGTTACAAATGGACTTCTTCTTAGATCAAGGGCTGAGATATAACAAAATCAGAATAGGTTTCAACCCAACTTGTTGGAACTAAATGCTATATGGGGATAAAACACTAAAAGATCTGAGCACATAGGACTGTCTCTTGAACCCAGATGAGAACCAATTAAATCCCAAGTCACCAGGCAATAAATGAGGGAGGTTATGAGGTCCATAATAGTGACATGATATATTTAACTTACAAGTGCAGGCATATGGCATTAGGAACTCATTTGCACTAACTAATCAGTGTTATCTATGTGGTGGTTTAGAGCAACTAAGCTGTGGATCAGTAGGTTAGACAACATATATTGCAATTATAACCTCTCAGACAACCCTAGGCACACATCCCACCTGAATAAGAGAGGTGATTTTCCACTATTTTCTCAATTTCCCAAAGATTTTAACAGTCTATCTATAGAAAGAGATGATATATTAACATCTGCATGGGGCTGTGGAAAGTTTAGTTGTTTACTAGTGAACTAGTAATCCTCATTTTTTAAAATGACAACAAACATAAAAAATTCCAACCTAACCATTATTTCGATGCTATCCCCCATCCCCAGCCAAAGCCATTGTGTTAACAGCCTCGATCCTCAATCACTCACGCCCAATTCACACTATTCATACCCTGCCTTTAACATTGCCTTACTTTGACACCTTCAGTCTCTCTATGTGCATCAGCCAAACAGCTTGAAAGCAAAACAGCTAGACCCTCATCTTTCTCCAGCCACATTGTTTACATAAAACAAACATGTCAGCATCATAAATAGATTGAATTCCCTCATCATGCCACTATTATGTGTTCAGTGCACAGATCAACTTACCTCTTGCTCGTGCTTCAGATGTGAGAATCTGACTAAGCATCATTTGTCGTTGTTCCTCTGCTTCACTAATTCAATAATTTTCAAGGTTTAGATCAAGAAAACCACACCAAAAAATGACACAAAAGTGGACCCAAAAACTGAGCCAACCATAGCCATGGAATCAGCGAGACAGCCCAATCAAGTTGGACCATTACAACCATCAAAGTCGGATTAAAAGAGAATGAGCCATTTCAAACAACTAAAAGAAACAAGAATAGCTTGGGAGAGCAATCAATGTTTCTTCTAGGCAGGCTTCTTTTGTTTAACGGTTTCCTTGTTCTTGGTTGAAGGCTATAACCAATAACAAGGGAGTTTGCTTCCTTGGATACCTCATCGGAACTAGATTGGGAATTATCTTCCGGAGACTGGAAAAAATTTGACATACTAAATGCACTAGCTTCAATAATTTCTTGGTAAGACACTGCAGTTGTTTAGCTTTATAAGTACCTCAAGACTTGTTTCAGTTGATTCTTTTTGGGTAATAACTTAACTAATTGGCGTCCTGAGAGCAAAAGTGCACATGTTACAAATGGACTTCTTCTTAGATCAAGGGCTGAGATATAACAAAATCAGAATAGGTTTCAACCCAACTTGTTGGAACTAGATGCTATATGGGGATAAAACACTAAAAGATCTGAGCACATAGGACTGTCTCTTGAACCCAGATGAGAACCAATTAAATCCCAAGTCACCAGGCAATAAATGAGGGAGGTTATGAGGTCCATAATAGTGACATGATATATTTAACTTACAAGTGCAGGCATATGGCATTAGGAACTCATTTGCACTAACTAATCAGTGTTATCTATGTGGTGGTTTAGAGCAACTAAGCTGTGGATCAGTAGGTTAGACAACATATATTGCAATTATAACCTCTCAGACAACCCTAGGCACACATCCCACCTGAATAAGAGAGGTGATTTTCCACTATTTTCTCAATTTCCCAAAGATTTTAACAGTCTATCTATAGAAAGAGATGATATATTAACATCTGCATGGGGCTGTGGAAAGTTTAGTTGTTTACTAGTGAACTAGTAATCCTCATTTTTTAAAATGACAACAAACATAAAAAATTCCAACCTAACCATTATTTCGATGCTATCCCCCATCCCCAGCCAAAGCCATTGTGTTAACAGCCTCAATCCTCAATCACTCACGCCCAATTCACACTATTCATACCCTGCCTTTAACATTGCCTTACTTTGACACCTTCAGTCTCTCTATGTGCATCAGCCAAACAGCTTGAAAGCAAAACAGCTAGACCCTCATCTTTCTCCAGCCACATTGTTTACATAAAACAAACATGTCAGCATCATAAATAGATTGAATTCCCTCATCACGCCACTATTATGTGTTCAGTGCACAGCTCAACTTACCTCTTGCTCGTGCTTCAGATGTGAGAATCTGACTAAGCATCATTTGTCGTTGTTCCTCTGCTTCACTAATTCAATAATTTTCAAGGTTTAGATCAAGAAAACCACACCAAAAAATGCTAACATATGCAAAACAAACTAGAATTTCAACGAGATAATAATAAAGTTAGATTAAGAAGGAGATTAACCTCTTAGCTTCCTCCTGGGCTTTCTGCTGTTCAGAGTTTTGCTGACTTCCCTATATTTCAAGATTAATTAGTAAAACCTAAAGACGGTACACCATGAAGCAATAGAACACACAAGTAAGCAGACAGTCAGTCACCATGCCACATTGAGCCATTAGCTCCTGCATTCTTCTTTGCCTAATCGCTTCCAATTCTGGGTCGGCCTAGAACACAGGAAAATTAGGAAGAACAAAATTAATAATTAAAATGTCACACTCTGTTAAGCTTAAATTCCAACTCCAAAATATAAATAACACGCTGATGCTCCTGTATCATCTTGTCAAGAATTTGGTCGCATAACTATTTATAAGCAGATCGAAAAGATGTGTTTAAAAAGGTTTAATGGATACTAAGGCATTTATCCTTGTGAGGCAAGGAAAAGAGTAAGCATCAAGATAGAACAATTAAAAGAATTCAAAAGAATATAGAAATACAAAAATATGCACAATATACCATAAACCAAATCCGTACTGTAACTAATTAACAAGACTAAAAGTATAGCTTGCAAACAAGCATAAAATGGATCAAGTAAATAGAAATTATAAGTTTTTAAACTACTACTCATGTTACAAAATTATAATTTATTCCTGAGTGTGAAGACAACTCAAAATTTTCTTATATCATTGCTTAAATTTATGATTTTTGAGGGAATCATCATAATGTTTTCATTCATATTCATCATCCTCCAACTGCAATGGTATATTTTCCTTCCGTATACTAGAAAAAATAAAATAAAAGAAGCCCATAAAACATCTTAAGTTATAAGTAATAACTCAGAAGGCTGAGACCAATAATTAAACGTTTGAAGAATGCAACCTCTATAAATGGAGGCAAACAAATGACATTTAAGGTGTGGCTTTAAAGGCGTTTTATAATAGCCTCACGTGAGGTGGGATTTGAGGCTGAATAGTAAAATGACGATCAAAATTTGATTTTTTTGGGGGTAAAAAATTATTACCAAACGAGGACTGTATATACTCAACTTTTTTATATATTATATTTTTAATCTTTTTTTAAAATATATATATTATATTTTAATCTTATGTATATATACATATAAAATTAAATAAAAATATATCATTCTAATTTCATTCACTAATATTTACTTTAATTAAATTCCTTTTTGACCTTTTTATAAAACCAATAATATTCATTAAATATCATCTTTAGCTCCTGTTTGTTTTCTATTATTTGATCATTAAAATAAAAAAATATGAATGTTATCCATCATATCAAATCATCGTATTTGAATTTCTTTTTCTTGCGTGGTGCTCGTAACGAATATATTTTTCATTCTCATTTTTACATTAATGGGAAACAAATAATTAAAATCAAAACAACAATGTTAACACTAGAGAAAATATATACACAGATAAAAATATGTGAAGAGGAGATTGAAAAGGTAAAGATTACGTTTTATTATAGGTTTGATGAATTCAGTATGGGAAGGATTCTTAATTTGTATATAAGTTATTTGATAATGTGCCTCTTAAATTCCAATAGTATAAATAAGAAATTTCATTTCGAATTATTTAAGTTTTCAATTGGGACAATGTTTTCTTTTTTTCTTTTTTTCTTTTTTTTTTATTTTCTTGACTTGAAAAATATTGATGGCTATTTTTTCTATTAGAATTATCAAAACTAGAAATTGAGTTTTTTATGTGGATTTTCAATTCTGTTCTTGATGTTCTTAAATACAAAAAAATGGTGGCTAATCCGCTAGCATTATCAAAATAAATAAAAAGTTTGACTGTGCATATTGATGTCAATGATTGAAAATATGAAAGAATTAGAAAGGAACCATGATATATTAAATGGATAAATGGATAATTGCAAAAGAAGCCTCGAACCTTTTAAACATTCGCAAACTTTCCCCTATCATTTTACTTGTTGCAACCTTCACTTGAAACATTTCAAAACATTGTATCGGAGGCCCTTTTGGATGCAGTGCGTCCAATTTATGATTAATTGATCTAAAAAAGTGATTTTGACCATGTTTTGATTATTTATGTAAGGAGAAAATGGTAAACTTTATATATTTCCACATAATTATTTAAAAAAAGAAAAATTTCATATATAAGAGATTATGTATGACCTATTTCAAAACTAGGAAATAAGGTTTAAAACTTAAAAAATTAGATATTAATTAAATTTATTTATGAAATAATTTATAAAATATATTTTTATTAATTAAATATATTGGGGTCACAAATATCGAATTAATGGATCATAAATTATTTCTTGGTCTCAAATCAAAAATTTTACAGGTTATAATTTTTTTATCGATCACAAATTACAAATTTTATAAGATACAAATTATTTCTCAATCATAAATCAAAAATTTTATAGGTTACAATTTATTTATTGATTATAAATCACAAATTTTATAAATTACAATTCATTTATCGGTCATAAATTATCAAATTAATTGAACACAAATTATTTCCAGATCATAATTTAATCATTTGTGAATCATAATCACATTTTTAGGTCACATGGTCACAAATTTATCGATTGAGATCAACTAATAATTGACCCACAATCACTGTCGTGACTATGACAACCGTCATGACCACGACCACCACCATCATAGTTACCATCCCACCCACCTCACCTAACCTCGTAAAACCATCATCATAGCAACCACAACGCCACCACACACAATGCAACAAAAAACCATCATCGCTATTACACAAAACCACTACCACAACAACGCAAAACAAGCAATGATGCTCCTGTATCATCTTGTCAAGAATTTGGTCGCATAACTATTTATAAGCAGATCGAAAAGATGTGTTTAAAAAGGTTTAATGGATACTAAGGCATTTATCCTTGTGAGGCAAGGAAAAGAGTAAGCATCAAGATAGAACAATTAAAAGAATTCAAAAGAATATAGAAATACAAAAATATGCACAATATACCATGGGCCGAGCCAAGCTCACGAGCGGCTCGTGAGCTCGTAATTTTTTTTATTTTTTATTTTTTGGTAAATTGCACGTTTAGGACATTTTAAAAAAAAAATTAAATTTTTTTGACGAGCGGGCTCGTAATTTGACGAGCCGAGCCAACGAGCCGCTCGACCCGTTTGACATCTCTAATTGCACAAGAACTTAAGGTACTTATAAAATAAGCAAACAGCCCTTTGAGGGATATTCAAAGAAGTGCAGGTTTGGAATACAATGGATAGGTCTCAATCTCGCATGGTGGTGCTCGCATACCTCAAGTTTGAGATCCCACATTGTTAAAATATGATTTTTATTTATTTTTTATTTATTTATTTTTTTAAAATCAAAACACATAAGGTGGAGGTTTTATTAATAACGCATCCGGTGACCTACCATGGACAAAAGGCCTCAAGGAGTGGGACTAAACCTGACCTCCCATGGACACAAAAGTGGACCCAAAAACTGAGCCAACCATAGCCATGGAATCAGCGAGACAGCCCAATCAAGTTGGACCATTACAACCATCAAAGTCGGATTAAAAGAGAATGAGCCATTTCAAACAACTAAAAGAAACAAGAATAGCTTGGGAGAGCAATCAATGTTTCTTCTAGGCAGGCTTCTTTTGTTTAACGGTTTCCTTGTTCTTGGTTGAAGGCTATAACCAATAACAAGGGAGTTTGCTTCCTTGGATACCTCATCGGAACTAGATTGGGAATTATCTTCCGGAGACTGGAAAAAATTTGACATACTAAATGCACTAGCTTCAATAATTTCTTGGTAAGACACTGCAGTTGTTTAGCTTTATAAGTACCTCAAGACTTGTTTCAGTTGATTCTTTTTGGGTAATAACTTAACTAATTGGCGTCCTGAGAGCAAAAGTGCACATGTTACAAATGGACTTCTTCTTAGATCAAGGGCTGAGATATAACAAAATCAGAATAGGTTTCAACCCAACTTGTTGGAACTAAATGCTATATGGGGATAAAACACTAAAAGATCTGAGCACATAGGACTGTCTCTTGAACCCAGATGAGAACCAATTAAATCCCAAGTCACCAGGCAATAAATGAGGGAGGTTATGAGGTCCATAATAGTGACATGATATATTTAACTTACAAGTGCAGGCATATGGCATTAGGAACTCATTTGCACTAACTAATCAGTGTTATCTATGTGGTGGTTTAGAGCAACTAAGCTGTGGATCAGTAGGTTAGACAACATATATTGCAATTATAACCTCTCAGACAACCCTAGGCACACATCCCACCTGAATAAGAGAGGTGATTTTCCACTATTTTCTCAATTTCCCAAAGATTTTAACAGTCTATCTATAGAAAGAGATGATATATTAACATCTGCATGGGGCTGTGGAAAGTTTAGTTGTTTACTAGTGAACTAGTAATCCTCATTTTTTAAAATGACAACAAACATAAAAAATTCCAACCTAACCATTATTTCGATGCTATCCCCCATCCCCAGCCAAAGCCATTGTGTTAACAGCCTCAATCCTCAATCACTCACGCCCAATTCACACTATTCATACCCTGCCTTTAACATTGCCTTACTTTGACACCTTCAGTCTCTCTATGTGCATCAGCCAAACAGCTTGAAAGCAAAACAGCTAGACCCTCATCTTTCTCCAGCCACATTGTTTACATAAAACAAACATGTCAGCATCATAAATAGATTGAATTCCCTCATCACGCCACTATTATGTGTTCAGTGCACAGCTCAACTTACCTCTTGCTCGTGCTTCAGATGTGAGAATCTGACTAAGCATCATTTGTCGTTGTTCCTCTGCTTCACTAATTCAATAATTTTCAAGGTTTAGATCAAGAAAACCGCACCAAAAAATGCTAACATATGCAAAACAAACTAGAATTTCAACGAGATAATAATAAAGTTAGATTAAGAAGGAGATTAACCTCTTAGCTTCCTCCTGGGCTTTCTGCTGTTCAGAGTTTTGCTGACTTCCCTATATTTCAAGATTAATTAGTAAAACCTAAAGACGGTACACCATGAAGCAATAGAACACACAAGTAAGCAGACAGTCAGTCACCATGCCACCTCCAATTTGCAACCAACCACGAAGAAAAATGGAAGAAAGTACACTGTCGATTTGCAACACCCCCTCAAGCAAAGTCGCGCACAACGTCAAGGCTTTGAGATCTTCCATCACCATAGCTTGCAAACAAGCATAAAATGGATCAAGTAAATAGAAATTATAAGTTTTTAAACTACTACTCATGTTACAAAATTATAATTTATTCCTGAGTGTGAAGACAACTCAAAATTTTCTTATATCATTGCTAAATTTATGATTTTTGAGGGAATCATCATAATGTTTTCATTCATATTCATCATCCTCCAATTGCAATGGTATATTTTCCTTCCGTATACTAGAAAAAATAAAATAAAAGAAGCCCATAAAACATCTTAAGTTATAAGTAATAACTCAGAAGGCTGAGACCAATAATTAAACGTTTGAAGAATGCAACCTCTATAAATGGAGGCAAACAAATGACATTTAAGGTGTGGCTTTAAAGGCGTTTTATAATAGCCTCACGTGAGGTGGGATTTGAGGCTGAATAGTAAAATGACGATCAAAATTTGATTTTTTTGGGGGTAAAAAATTATTACCAAACGAGGACTGTATATACTCAACTTTTTTATATATTATATTTTTAATATAACATATAAGATTAAACGAGAACTAATAATGTTAAATGTTAAATTACATTCATATTTACCATGAAATTCATGAATAAATTATTTTGAAAGTTGGTTGCTAAAAGATGTTAATAGAACAAATGCATATTTCTTTATTTTTATTTACATTTTTTTGTTTGACATTCATATTGTCATATAACAGTTGATAAATGTAAATTTACATTCTGCTATTATAGTTTGGTTAAAACTCATTTCGTCTTGCTAGTGAAATGTTAAATAAGGATTGAATGGGATATATTCATATGTACAAATGTTGATAAGGTTTTGGCTTATTGGAAATTGATGAATTTCATTCTCTAACTACTTTATGAAAGTAGAAGGTAGTAGTACTAGATAGGAAACTTTAATATTTTCACACAAATAAATTTATTAATCATCGAGGCACACAAACAGTTATTTTTCTATCCAAACCACAATTCATAAGTGTATAATAAGTTCAAAAACAACAAATTAAAAAAAGAACAACGGAAAAATGGCTTGAATGAGAATTTGAGACTTACCGAAAAAAAGAGAAAAAGAGGCAATTCAGGTAGACATTAGCAGACTAACAGGCAAAGGAGACTAGCGATTCATTCAATAGTGTCAAATAAGCATCAAATGTTAGGGAAATGAGAGTTTATGTTAGGGTTTCTGAAATTTAAAATGTGATTTGCTAACGTAATTTTGTTGAATTATGATTTGGATTGTTGAAAATATATATATTTTTTTTCATTTCATATTATTTTGGAATAATTTTTGTCTAGTTTAGATATCAAGTGAGGATATGTGTTGTGAACTTATTAAATTATATGCCAATGATGATGAAACTAATTTACTTTCTATAATTATTTCAATAGTCTTGTTGTAATTTGTATTACTTAATTTGTATTTTTTTTCTTGAAAAGTGAAATTTGAAAAAATTTTAAGTCAATAAAATTAATATTTTAATTAATTTTTTTTTAAAATGGTTCGATTTTATGCGGTTTTTGAAAATCAAAACCTAAGCCAAACCATTTTAAAACGGTTTGATTTGGTTTGAAGGGAAAAAAACCACGGGTCCACGTGAATCCAAACTAACGATTTCAACTCAACGATTTCAGTTCGGTTTGCTATTTCGCGATTTTTTTGTGCAACCCTAATGAAATCTTCACTGTAATTTTAGAAGATTAGTCTTTAAAAGTAGGGTGGGGTATAATTTTCACTATAATAAAATAATAAAAAGAAATGAAAAGGCCCAAACCAGAAAACTCAGACCCCCCATCGACTAATAACCAAAGCCACCAAAAAACACCCTATATTGGGGATATTACACCTTTAATACACTCCAACAAACATCTATTTTGGATGAAGAAATATGTCAAAAACAGTCTTGATTTTTGACCACTTCACAAATTGAGAATACCACCTCCGACGACACCCATTATCGTTGACCACCACCTCCGACGACACTCGTTACCGTTGACCACCACCATTCATCTCGCCTAATCTACGCATACATTCTCATGGAACAACATCACCAAAATAGGCCCAAAAATATTATTGCAATTTCTAGGAAAACGTACCCAATTCGCAAAATCGCACGGGCAATCTCGCCTCCTCCAATTGATTGGTCCCACATTGTTTTTCCATCCAAATGCGAAAAATCGAATGCTCAAAACTATAATACGACATTGGGTGTACAATCAATTGAACAAATTTAGCCTTCAATCACTGCATTAATTAATGTACGATGAAGAAAAGCAAGACATATTATGGGTTCGTGAGTTGTGATGAATCCATGAGCTATCCAAAACTCGGTGTTCAGCATCGCCATTATTGATGGCGCTGATGGTTGTTGCTTTCCCTCTCCTCTTTTCTTTCTTGAAACAAACCCCACAACATTACAAAGTGACCGTCAAATTCATAACCATTAGTTTACACTTTTCACAATCTAGTTTAATCACAAAGAAAAGAAAAACTAAATTCCTGAATGTTTGGTTTGGAAGAAAGGTAATTTATATTCCTTTGTTCTTTTCTTTGGTTTTTAAATTATTTTAATTGTTATTTTATATGAAATTATTATACAGTTACCATTTTATCCCATTTAATTGGTCAAAAAAAGTAAGATTTTATTTTCTTGGTCAACTAATTATAAATTGGACGGATTCCATCCAAAAGAACCTCAGATGCAACGTTTTGAAAGGTTTGAATGACGATTACAACAAATGAAAAGTTAAGGAAAAGTTTGCTAGTGTTTAAAAAATTTAAAACTTTTACTGCAATTATCCCATATATAAAAATGGTGTTAATGTATAGATATGTGAAAATGGTGTGGATAGATATATGAAAGGATTGAAGTAATTATGAAGGGATATATAAAAATAGTGTGGAGGAATAGTGTAAAAATGAATGAATTTAATAAAGATAATATTGAAATTTCATGTGGATGAAAATAGTAATTGTTTAAAATTTTAATAGGGATAGATATATAGCTTAATGGATATATAACAATTGTGGATATAAATAGCGGCTCTCTCTTCCAATTTAAAATTTAAAATAATTTTAAGCTAATTGAATACTATTAAGATTAAATTAATATCACGGGCTTTATCGTGTATTCTTGGAATTATTATGGAAAAACAATACTGAATAGTGTGTGAAAATATTTATACAGCCTCCACGATAACGCTGGTGAGAGTTTTGTATAAGAGGTAATTTTTTTTGGTTCCATTTGATACTTGACCCCCGTTTGGCCCCTATTAATTTTGATTACGAGCCTGTTTGGGAATGATTTTGAAAATTGATTTTTTAACCGTTAGAAAAAAAAGTGGGATCCACCTATGAGAGAAAGAAGTCAAATATAACGATTGGAATAGTAAAATAACGGTCAAAAAATCAATTTTTTGGTGAAAAAAATCACTCCCAAACATGCTTATAGATGAAGGAATAGTATTTTTTTTTTGAAAAATGAATAGTTGTGAAAGAATAAAAAAATTTTATTTACATGTAATATTATTTTATTGAAAAGGTTGAAAATAGGAGTAAAAAAAATTTAATCTAATTTGATGAGATTTAATGGGGGTGAAATGAGGTCTTAAGCTCCGTTTGATCCTTATTTTCTAAGATTCATTTTTCATTAAATTCATTTCCAATTATACATTTTATAAGATTCACAAACTTTTATTGATTTTTCAATCATATATTTCATCGATTTTTATCAAAATTTACTAAAAATTTAATTTTTATCCAAACCTATCATGGGCTAAATTGAAAGTGTGAATTTAGATCAATACACTTGCATTGAGGACAACAAAAACTATTAGAAGGTGAAGCATACTTATATTATGTGCCGTTTATAGTCATCGTTAACCTGCCATCATTTTTTCGTAAGTTACAAAATTATTTTCAAAAATTACATTGCTGCACATTCAAAACCCATGTTAGGAGATTCAATACAAAACACAAACAAAATGAGTTGAAATCTGCTGTCTAATTTGCTGTCCACCCAATTGCAAATTGACACATTATGAAAACCTGATGAGCATCAAGTTTTCATGCTGTAGGTTTTCATGATGCGTTAATTTGCAAATAGGTGGACAACAAATTGGACGACACATCTCAAGTCCAAACAAAACCATGTAATGGCGAATTCTGAAGGACGAGCCAACGACACTTGCCAACTTCAAACATGAAAGTCAGCATTTTGGAATATACTCACAGGTTCTATAATTTGCATCAACATAATTTTTTATTTTTCACTTCAATTTACAACAACCTATTCCTATTCAAGCTACCTTTGCCAAGATCAAAATTAAAGGCTACGAATTGGAGTTAGTGTACAATAAACTCAATTTTGAATGAAATAATCTTACGTTTTCAGTTCTGCTGTTTCACTTCCAGGATATAAATAGCGGCTCTCTCTTCCAATTTAAAATTTAAAATAATTTTAAGCTAATTGAATACTATTAAGATTAAATTAATATCACGGGCTTTATCGTGTATTCTTGGAATTATTATGGAAAAACAATACTGAATAGTGTGTGAAAATATTTATACAGCCTCCACAATAACGCTGGTGAGAGTTTTGTATAAGAGGTAAAAAATAAATAAAGCCTTGTTTGGTTCAGCTAAAAAAATGGATTAAAATTTATGTCAAGGTCAATAATTAATTTTAACCACAGATGTCATTTATATTGATCGATAGAAGTAGGCAGCATTATTCATTAGAGGAAGTAAGAAAGAATGTAATAACCTGATAAATGGGACAGAGGAAAGCACTAGGCACATTTCTCCCCCCGTTTGGCCCCTATTAATTTTGATTACGAGCCTGTTTGGGAATGATTTTGAAAATTGATTTTTTAACCGTTAGAAAAAAAAGTGGGATCCACCTATGAGAGAAAGAAGTCAAATATAACGATTGGAATAGTAAAATAACGGTCAAAAAATCAATTTTTTGGGGAAAAAAATCACTCCCAAACATGCTCATAGATGAAGGAATAGTATTTTTTTTTGAAAAATGAATAGTTGTGAAAGAATAAAAAAAATTTATTTACATGTAATATTATTTTATTGAAAAGGTTGAAAATAGGAGTAAAAAAAATTTAATTTAATTTGATGAGATTTAATGGGGGTGAAATGAGGTCTTAAGCTCCGTTTGATCCTTATTTTCTAAGACTCATTTTTCATTAAATTCATTTCCAATTATACATTTTATAAGATTCACAAACTTTTATTGATTTTTCAATCATATATTTCATCGATTTTTATCAAAATTTACTAAAAATTTAATTTTTATCTTGCCAACTCAGAGCCTTGTTCCTTACTCTAGAGCTTCTTTCAGTTAGGAATAATGCATCATGCAGGCAGCCATTGTGCATGTACTCGAAAATAATGCAGTTGAGCTCGGAGCAGAATCCAATCATGGCAACTATATTTGGATGCCTGATTTGGCTAAGTATTTGTACCTGTGATAGTAAGGTTATTATCAAACTTCAACTGAATTGATGAAGCTAATTTTTGTTTTCCTTTGGAGAGTATTGTAACATCAACATTCGTAGAGCACATAGGATGCTTACACTGATCTTCATCCATCTCATAGCATATAGCGCACGCATATTTTGATCGATTTAATAAATGTAGGAAATGAGATAATTCAAGTAATCCTTTAAGATGCGAAGATAAAGTTGAATGAAACAGTACAAATTATAATTTCACTAAAGCAATACCTTAGCTATGAAGGACTCCCGGGATGGAGCATTTGCTGAATTGTACATTTTAATTGCAACTGTCATATGATTTATATGACCTTTGTAAACATTTGTGAATTGACCTCGTGACTTCAATCTTAAACCCTCCGAGAAATCTTCAGTTGCAGCACTAATTTCGGCAGCAGTGAATTCTCTGTAATCAAAACTTGAGGCGTTCATTCTGTCAGCACTACCTATTGCATCTTTTTCTCTACAGAACTCGATTCTAAGTTGGATGACATCTCTTTGCCCTCTCAATTCCTCAATTTCTCGAACCATATCAGTTCTTGTTTGCACTGCCTTCTCTAGTTGAACCTCGGCTCGTGATTTAGCAGAAGAGGATAACTGAAGTTTGTTCGAGAGTTCTCGTTGGAGTTCTAGAATTGAGTTCAGCTTACTTCTTTTTTCCTCGACTTCACCCTGAAGTTCAAAGAGTTCGTCTTTTCTGGAGTCTAGCTCTTTCTTTAGATCAGCATTTTTCTGAACCTCTTCACTTAAGCAAACTTCAAGTTGCATAATCTATTGAAAATAAATAAATAAATGAAAATAAATAAATAAATACTAAAATACTGAACGATAGGAATTCACAAATTATGCTACACTTTGTAATTGGAAATGTAAATTTACCCGGGTATTACACAAACTAATAGCCCATTCTGCTTTCGCACCCCTTTCCTTATTGAAATTTGCTTCTTTTTTGTTCAATTGGATTGCTTCTTCAGCTCTTTGTATTTTGAGTTTAAGAGCTTCAATTCTTTCTGCTCCACTCTAATGTTGTGCCAAAAGAATCAGACTACTTAAGTATCATGCAGCATACAAAAAGAGAAGTGAAGGAATTTTCTTCAAAACACAATAAAACTGAACAAAAAACAAAACAAACTCAATTTTGGGAACATGGATATGCATAAAGAATTCAAAAAGTTACCATATTTTCTTGCATATCTGAATCTGCAGGATTTTCCTCCAAGGCTTTATAATTTGCCTCTTCTTCCTCTTCATTTAAAGACAACAGTTGATTAACATATTGTTCAATCTCTTCACTGTATTTCTCCCACTCATCGGGTGAACTATTGCTTCTTGAAGAAGAAGGTGAATCCGTGGAATGTCCATTTGTAGGGCTATCCGGGAAAATTCTTCCTAGCAAACTTCTAAAACCATTCCTCTCTGTAAACTTGGCAATTGTGTTTCCCCTATCGTCCTCTATAAATCCCTCGTTATTTTCTTCTCTCAACGAAAGCAATCTCCCTCCATATATAACAAAAAGCTCACAAAAATCGGGTTTGTGACGAAGAATATAGAATGACCCACTAATTGCAGTTCTTGATTTCCTATTAGGAATATAATCAAACACAAGAATAACAATAACTTAGCAAGCAAAGACAAAAATTCCTCAAAATTCACTAAATTTTATCACATTAAATCGAAAATTCAACATTGTGCCTACCATGCCGAGGACTTTATAAATGTTAATGACATAACTAATTTGTGAGTTGAAATCTGCTGTCTAATTTGCTGTCCACCCAATTGCAAATTGACACATTATGAAAACCTGATGAGCATCAAGTTTTCATGCTGTAGGTTTTCATGATGCGTTAATTTGCAAATAGGTGGACAACAAATTGGACGACACATCTCAAGTCCAAACAAAACCATGTAATGGCAAATTCTGAAGGACGAGCCAACGACACTTGCCAACTTCAAACATGAAAGTCAGCATTTTGGAATATACTCACAGGTTCTATAATTTGCATCAACATAATTTTTTATTTTTCACTTCAATTTACAACAACCTATTCCTATTCAAGCTACCTTTGCCAAGATCAAAATTAAAGGCTAGGAATTGGAGTTAGTGTACAATAAACTCAATTTTGAATGAAATAATCTTACGTTTTCAGTTCTGCTGTTTCACTTCCATGCATCAAAACATGGTGCAATGATCTTTAACTCGGGGGAGCTGATCTTCTAGTTTGCCAATCCTGGATCAGCGTACGCAGAGTGTGATTAGGGGTAAGAAGCGTATGATTCAGCCTCAAGTTAGTCATTGGTGATGTATCATGACCTGTTCTTAGCCACCCTTCAATGGCGTCTAGTTCGTAGGAAAACCCGTCTGCAGCTAAATGTGGGTTTTGCATCACATCCTGCACAATGAAGATTAGTAACAATGTGATTGCAAAACAAAATAAAATAAATAAAGCCTTGTTTGGTTCAGCTAAAAAAATGGATTAAAATTTATGTCAAGGTCAATAATTAATTTTAACCACAGATATCATTTATATTGATCAATAGAAGTAGGCAGCATTATTCATCAGAGGAAGTAAGAAAGAATGTAATAACCTGATAAATGGGACAGAGGAAAGCACTAGGCACATTGCTTGAGTCCTCTGTATCTATAAAATCTTCAACTGCAGATGCGTATTCTCCATTTGCAACTAGCTGGTCAGCCTTTTTCTTCACCCTATTGATCTCACTCATCAGCCACCCTATATCCAACTCCTTGTCTATATCTTGGTCAGTTGACAAACACCTTATAGCTATGCTACAAAGTTCCGTTGCCAAATCCAAAGGCCATTCTCCAGCCGAATGATCCAAGTCCCCAATGATAGCAGAAGCATCCATTGGTGCTGCCCAGTTCCTCCCACTCAGAAGTTGCAGCATTAAGTTTCCAAAAGCCCGGATGTCTGAATTTCTATCAGAATTATCATACGACCAAGGAGGCTTCAAGCCATAAACTTTTGCAACATTGTTACGGTCCAGGATGATTTTTGAGGGACTCAAGTTGCCGAGAATTAAGGGCTTAGGCAGGGCATTATGAAGGAAGCCCAAAGCTGAGCACACTTCAGCTGCAATTCGTATTCTCATGTGCCAACTCAGAGCCTTGTTCCTTACTCTAGAGCTTCTTTCAGTTAGGAATAATGCATCATGCAGGCAGCCATTGTGCATGTACTCGAAAATAATGCAGTTGAGCTCGGAGCAGAATCCAATCATGGCAACTATATTTGGATGCCTGATTTGGCTAAGTATTTGTACCTGTGATAGTAAGGTTATTATCAAACTTCCACTGAATTGATGAAGCTAATTTTTGTTTTCCTTTGGAGAGTATTGTAACATCAACATTCGTAAAGCACATAGGATGCTTACACTGATCTTCATCCATCTCATAGCATATAGCGCACGCATATTTTGATCGATTTAATAAATGTAGGAAATGAGATAATTCAAGTAATCCTTTAAGATGCGAAGATAAAGTTGAATGAAACAGTACAAATTATAATTTCACTAAAGCAATACCTTAGCTATGAAGGACTCCTGGGATGGAGCATTTGCTGAATTGTACATTTTAATTGCAACTGTTATATGATTTATATGACCTTTGTAAACATTTGTGAATTGACCTCGTGACTTCAATCTTAAATCCTCCGAGAAATCTTCAGTTGCAGCACTAATTTCGGCAGCAGTGAATTCTCTGTAATCAAAACTTGAGGCGTTCATTCTGTCAGCACTACCTATTGCATCTTTTTCTCTACAGAACTCGATTCTAAGTTGGATGACATCTCTTTGCCCTCTCAATTCCTCAATTTCTCGAACCATATCAGTTCTTGTTTGCACTGCCTTCTCTAGTTGAACCTCGGCTCGTGATTTAGCAGAAGAGGATAACTGAAGTTTGTTCGAGAGTTCTCGTTGGAGTTCTAGAATTGAGTTCAGCTTACTTCTTTTTTCCTCGACTTCACCCTGAAGTTCAAAGAGTTCGTCTTTTCTGGAGTCTAGCTCTTTCTTTAGATCAGCATTTTTCTGGACCTCTTCACTTAAGCAAACTTCAAGTTGCATAATCTATTGAAAATTAATAAGTAAATACTAAAATACTGAACGGTAGGAATCACAAATTATGCTACACTTTGTAATCGGAAATGTTAATTTACCCGGGTATTACACAAACTAATAGCCCATTCTGCTTTTGCACCCCTTTCCTTATTCAAATTTGCTTCTTGTTTGTTCAATTGGATTGCTTCTACAGCTCTTTGTATTTTGAGTTTAAGAGCTTCAATTCTTTCTGCTCCACTCTAATATTGTGCCAAAAGAATCAGTCTACTTAAGTATCATGCAGCATACAAAAAGAGAAGGAATTTCCTTCAAAACACAATAAAGCTGAACAAGAAACAAAAAAACTCAATTTTGGGAACATGGAATTGTATAAAGAATTCAAGAAGTTACCATATTTTCCTGCATATCTGAATCTGCAGGATTTTCCTCCAAGGCTTTATAATTTGCCTCTTCTTCCTCTTCATTAAAAGCCAACAGTTGATTAACATATTGTTCAATCTCTTCACTGTATTTCTCCCACTCATCGGGTGAACTATTGCTTCTTGAAGAAGTAGGTGAATCCGTGGAATGTCCATTTGTAGGGCTATCCGGGAAAATTCTTCCTAGCAAACTTCTAAAACCATTCCTCTCTTTAAACTTGGCAATTGTGTTTCCCCTATCGTCCTCTATAAATCCTTCGTTATTTTCTTCTCTCAACGAAAGCAATCTCCCTCCACATATAACAAAAAGCTCACAAAAATCGGGTTTGTGACGAAGAATATAGAATGACCCACTAATTGCAGTTGTTGATTTCCTATTAGGAATATAATCAAACACAAGAATAACAATAACTTAGCAAGCAAGGACAAAAATTCCTCAAAATTCACCAAATTTTATCACATTAAATCGAAAATTCAACATTGTGCCTACCATGCCGAGGACTTTATAAATGTTAATGACATAACTAATTTGGTTATCCGTTGAATCGGAATTATTTCTACCAATTGCTTGTAAATAGGCTGCTCAGTTTTCTCCAACTTAAAAACTTGAGCTTTAATCTGCAAGGAAAATTAAGTAAAACCCCAGAAATTAATTACTCTAAATCTTTGAAATAAACTATTCCAAGAACATAATTTTAATTAATCCAACCCTTCCACAGGAGGCTATGAACTGGGATATCATTTGGTCATCAATTTCTTCCTCGCTCTTGTCAAGATCTTTCAGCTTCTTCTCACTCACAGAACTTGCAGGAAGTTTCCCAACTGCAATTACCAAAAAAAGACGAATAATTGCAAAAATATATAATCAAGAAAATAAAGAAATTAACAGCAAATTAATGACTTACGTGGTGTGTAAACATAATCTCTGCGTATGTTATTTGCTGCGTGGATAATCACTATGCTGATTGAATGATTAGACCATTTTCTTAAAGCCCATTGTAAGGTTGAAAGCCCATCGTAAAGGTCTCTTCCAATGGCTACATAAACTTTCTCTGGCTGAATTTCCATAATTCCCTTCCTTTATTTTCTTTGCATTGCTCGAGAAAGTCACTTGTGCATAATGATTTCGCAAAAAGATTATTTAAATTGATTCTTTCTCGTTCTATCTACTCTCTCGTGATTTTGGCTTTGGGACCCTTTCAAAAAACATTCAGCACAATAAAGTAGGCACAAGAAAATCACGAGTCTTGTTAATTTGGAGGGAGGAATGTGAAAATTGTCGCAGGCTTTGAATTTGAGTGATTCAAAAGGAGATTAGCAAAAAGGTATGTTTGAATTCCGTTTGTTTAATTATGCTTTGCAAGACGGCAATGACTTTAATTCCTAATTTCATTTAAATTGAGATATGGGGTCCTCTTCGTGACTTAAAAAAATCTACGATTTTCTTGGTTTGATTTGAAGTTTGGCAGTTTCTTGGTGTTTTTCTTCTATCTACATGTACTTGATTCTTAACCAAACACGTTTAGTTTGCAGTTGCAAGAAAGACTGCAGCCATACATTGTTAAGCATAAGGATATCCTAGGATATACTTCATGGATACGTACTAAAAACTAAAAATCCCATCCGGTGTAGATAATAACTATACTATGGGCCTGTTTGGTAGGGATTTTGAGAATTGATTTTTTGATCATTAGAAAAAAAGTGGGGTCCACATGTGAGAGAAGAAGTCAAAAATTACGGCTTGAATAGTAAAATAACGGTCAAAAAATCAATTTTTTGGAGCAAAAAATCACTACCAAACGAGGCCTATATGAACTGAATTATTAGTTTTAATATCTTTCGATGTAGTTTACAATAGATTAAGAAATTCTTGTCGTTGGCTTCACAGCATAAGTTTAACAATAAATAATTATATCCCATTTTGTATCCATTTCTATTAAAATTCTTAAAAATTACTATTTTTATCCACGTCAAATTTTAATATTGTTCTTATTAAATACATCGCTAATATAATTTCAAAAATTTTTAAATCACTATATTCATCAAATCACCATCAACATTTAATTTGATTATTACTTTTCCTTTTTCTATATTGCTATGTCATGTTTTAATATTTAGTTGCAAAGGTTTGCGAATCTCTTTTCTTAAATTTATTGAATTCTTTCTAGAGTACACCGCTCACGAAATCAAACAAAACCCTCCTAGAATCATATGTTAATTATTTTTATTTTATTTTTTGCTTTTAAGCTAATAATTATTTTGGTTGTTTGTGTTTTGGTTGGTAATTTTAATTTTGAATTAGGATACAGTTACTCTATGCTACAAAGTTAAAAGTGTTTATCTTGATACTAACTAAGTTTAAGAGAAAGGGAAAGCAGACTTTCAAGTCTCCTCTTCAATGTTTTGAACTTTTTTGTGAGCATTAAAATATAAAATAATATTATTTGCAGTCGTTTATTATCACAATCATCTTATGCGGCATACATGTGACGGTTAGTGATTTTTTGTATAAGATAATGAAAAACTATGACATTAATGTATCAAATTACTAATCGTCACATGTATATATAGAACGGTTATAGCAGTGAGCGACAGCAAATAATATTACTCTAAATTTTAAAATATCATAAAACATATAAAATGATCCAAATCATTCACATACTAATTCACAATAAACAGTAAGTCTTACGTTTTCAAATTCTTCTTCATATATTGCTCTATCTCTATGTATTTTTTTTTAATGGGACTCAAACGAGTCCTTAGTAAACATTAGAAGACGAATAATGGTTGGTTGAGAGGTGACAGGTCACGCAGTAATCAAGAAAAATGGCAGTGATGTTTTTGTTTTATTGTTATTGAGCTGAATATGAAAGGAAGGAATAGATTCCAGTCCCTCAAGGCCTCAATTGACTTTGGAATATGTATGACGTGTCATGATTTAATTATGGGTAATTAGCACAAAACATCCCTACCTTTCAATGTTTTTGTGGAAAACGTCCTTACCTTTCATTTTTTGACGGATTACACCCTTACCTTTCCCTTTTTTGTGCAAAACGTCCTTCTGTCAACTCTCCGTTAAAATGCTCCGTTAAATCAAAAAGGTAATTAGCACAAAAGGTCCATACCTTTCAAAGTTATTGTGCAAAACGTCCATACCTTTTATTTTTTAGCATAATTAGCAGAAAAGGTCCCTACCTTTTATTTTTAACATTTTTACCCCTACATTTCACCTTTCATTGCGCAAAAGGTGCTTTTCATCCATTTTTTCAATAAAATGACGATTTTACCCTCCGATTGAAATAAAACAAAAAGAAAAGAAAAAAATAATTAATTAATTGCAATCATAGTTCTAAATTTTTCAAAACATTACAGATAAATCCTAAATTCTCCACTACCGCCACTTTCACAATCCCACCAAGCCACCACCTATAGATCCATATAGCACCACTTTTCGACCACAACACCTATCGGACTCCACCAGCACCAGTGTCGCCTCACTCTCCCCAATATCCTCCTCCATAGTATTGGTCACCAATCTATCCGAAACAACCACATTTACGGTGGTGGAGTCCGATGGGCACAGTGGTCGAAAGGTGGTATTATGTGGATTTATAAAGAATTTGAGTGATTCAAAAGGAGATTAGCAAAAAGGTATGTTTGAATTCCGTTTGTTTAATTATGCTTTGCAAGACGGCAATGTCTTTAATTCCTAATTCCATTTAAATTGAGATATGGGGTCCTCTTCGTGACTTAAAAAAATCTACGATTTTCTTGGTTTGATTTGAAGTTTGGCAGTTTCTTGGTGTTTTTCTTCTATCTACATGTACTTGATTCTTAACCAAACACGTTCAGTTTGCAGTTGCAAGAAAGACCGCAGCCATACATTGTTAAGCATACGGATATCCTAGGATATACTTCATGGAAACGTACTAAAAACTAAAAATCCCATCCTGTGTAGATAATAACTATACTATATGAACTGAATTATTAGTTTTAATATCTTTCGATGTAGTTTACAATAGATTAAGAAATTCTTGTCGTTGGCTTCACAGCATAAGTTTAACAATAAATAATTATATCCCATTCTGTATCCATTCCTATTAAAATTCTTAAAAATTACTATTTTTATCCACGTCAAATTTTAATGTTGTCCTTCTTAAATACATCGCTAATATAATTTCAAAAATTTTAAAATCACTATCAACATTTAATCTGATTTTTTACTTTTACTTTTTCTATATTGCTATGTTGGTGTTTTAATATTTAATTGCAAAGATTTGCAAATTTTTATTCTGAAATTTATCGAATTTTCTCTAGAGTACACCGCTCACACAATCAAACAAAACCCTCCTAGAATCATATGTTAATTATTTTTATTTTATCTTTTGCTTTTAAGCTAATAATTATTTTGGTTGTTTGTGTTTTGGTTGGTAATTTTAATTTTGAATTAGGATACAATTACTCTATGCTACAAGGTTAAAAGTGTTTATCTTGATAATAACTAAGTTTAAGAGAAAGGGAAAGCAGACTTTCAAGTCTCCTCCTCAAGGTTTAAAACTTTTTTGTGTGCATTAAAATATAAAATAATATTATTTGCAGTCATTTATGGTCATAATCATCTTATGTGACATACATGTGACGGTTAGTGATTTGTTATATAAGGTAATGAAAAACTATGATATTAATGTATCAAATTATTAATCATCACATGTATGCCATATAGAATGGTTACAACAGCGAGCGACTGCAAATAACATTACTCTAAATTCTAAAATATAATAAAACGTATAAAATGATCCAAATACAAATCAAGAATCTTCACATACTAAATTCACAATAAACCTTAATTCTTACGTTTTTAAATTCTTCTTCATATATTGCTCCGTATCTATGTATTTTCTTTAATGGGACTCAAATGAGTCCTTAGTAAACATTAGAAGACGAATAATTTTTAGTCGAGAGATGACAGGTCACGCGGTAGTCAAGAAAAATGGCGGTGATATTTCTGTTTTATTGTTATTGAGCTGAATATGATAGGACGAAATAAATTCCAGAACCTCAAGGCCTCACTTGATTTGGAATATGTATGACGTGTCATGATTTAATTATCCTTAGCACCTATTTCCTGGTCTTCAATTTGAAAATTTTACTCTTTTCTTCCACTTATACAAGCTGGTTTTATTTTTTTATATGGATTAAAAAATTTTATTTATGTTATTGAAAAAGCATTTTTTTTGTCAAAAACTTTCCTAGCGTACCTTTATTTATATTTTTACAATTTTAAGATTAAGTGAAAAAATAGATTATATTTAGACAAATTAAATAACGGTGTATTAGTAAATGAACAAAATAAAATATTCTGAATTAAAAAACAAGATTATATAATTGGGACAATAAAATAAAGAAAATCAGCATATATAAATCGGACGTGAGTATTTTTTTGGAGAATGTATAATTAAAAAGTAAAAAAATTTTAAATTTACGTGTAGAATATATATTGTGTGAATGTACTAAAAAATAAGTATAAAAAATAAATTAAAGACCACCAAACAAACAAGGACTTAGAAATGCTCCTTTACGGTACCAGCCTATACTACAAAAATCTTCTCCTGTCTTGTTGGACTTTGTATCCTTGTAACTACTAATATTATATTATAAAGAATATTCTTGACGACACACACAGATGGGGGTGTAGCTCATATGGTAGAGCGCTCGCTTCGCATGCGAGAGGCACGGGGTTCGATTCCCCGCACCTCCATTTTTTATGCCGACTGATGATTCTTAGAAGTATTCTTTTGCTTGACTTTATAATGGAATTTCTGGTGTGCTAGAAAATACGAAAATACATAATTGAGCTGAGTGACTGCAATTGAGTTGAATAGTCCGTCTAAATGTCCATAATTTTAGAGTGCAAAGTAAATTAAATTATTTAAAATAGTATCTCCATCTCGTCTTTACATTGTTACGCTTTTCTTAGAAAATCAAATTATTTAAAATAGTATTTCCACATCATTTTTCCATTGTCACGATTTTCTCAAAAAAAATCTAGTTCAATAGAAGATATTCGTCATTAATTTTAGAGCAATGTTAAAATAGATGGGGTTTTTGAGAGAATTGGAGAATCGCACCTCTAGATTTCTCTCTTGATTCATGCATGATGAAATATAAAACGAGGAGTGATACTAGAGAAACAATTTGTCAATTATACCTGTTACGTTCTGATCTGATATGCCTCGGAACGCACACTACCATATATTCCGACCTGGTAAAGACCCATCTGAAGTACTTCCGAAGTGATGTCAGCAATGCCTACAACCTAGTAGTACTGACCTAACCAAAAGTACCTCGCCCAGAGGCCGAGGAAGAGGCCAAGTGGACCCCAATTAGAAGATCCGCCGCCAATTTCAGAAAGAGATTTGTGC